AAATAGTACAGATCCACACTTTCGCATTCGCGGAACAGATTCGTTGCGAATGCCGCTCGATATTTTTGTACGGTACGCGCGGATCGTTCGCCAAGCGAGTCGATGAAACGCGACGAAACGGAACCGAGTTTCGCGAAAACGAGAGAAAAATGCGTAACAAGGACGAGTCAGAAGTATCAAGTCAACACACGACTGTATTCGATGGCGAACAATAACCGACTGACTCGCATCGAGGAGACAACGAGTGACGAATGGTCGGTACGGTGCAAAAAAAAATTGTTTATTGCCGTGCCCGAACGGTTGAGACGCACGTTTGAATTTACCGTTGGGAAAGGTGACGCAGTTCCAAATTTCGAAGAATTCGTTTCCAAACAATTCAGATATCGAGTGTTGAGTCGTGAAGGAATTTAAGAGTTCGCTCGCACTTTACCGCGTTATCTTTGATACAACTTACAGTCAGTGTAACAAGTATTAGTACAGGAACCATTTATTTGAAATTGGTTCGTGTATATTGGTTCGTTCTGGAATACTTATTACACCGACTGTATGTCTATTATTTTCAAAATCTAATTACACGTCGCGAGCCTCGTTCGCCTCTCTCGCTCCCTTCCCTCTTTCATTCCCTCACTCTCACGTATACAATCGGGCGTGTTTACCAACGTAGCCTAACATCGAGGTTTCTCTAGGCACCGAAGTATCACGGATAGCTTCTTTCTCTCGTAAACAACAAACCGTTAATTGTCCAACGCGTGGGTTTCCGGTACGTTCCATCGACGAACACCGAGGGCTCGACACCGATATTTCGTCGAACCGTTTTTCGAACGAACGAATTAACGCGTAAAACCGTTACGACGGATTTAGTCTGTCGATCCTTGGCAACGGGAAGCCCGATGAAATCGAGATAATCGCTTCGTAATTCGAAACCTTGGATCGACCGACGAAACGCGTAACGATAAATTTTTACCCGCGCAACCGAAATACGACTCGTTCAGAATTCGCGACCGATCATCGATTACGAATTACAGATTACCGATTAAAAGTTCAAGCGTTACTCGTGTTTCGTACAAAAAAAAAAAAAAGTTTTCCCACCGTTTTCTCCAAAGACGTCCGACGAAATGATCGCGAGCGTTCACTTTGTTCCGATTCGAACGGCGCATCGGGTTTCGGTGTTACAAAGTACCTGTCGTGTTTCAGCCAGACCGTGGACTTCTCCGTCCGACTCTCGGAACTGGGAAACCCGGTTCTCGCAGCCAGCGTCAAAGAACAGAAGTTCGATAATAATTATCCAGCGAGTTTGCAGAAACAGGGGAGTTCCGTTCGTTCGGCGCGCTCGGAGAACAAAGGTTCCTTGGTCGAGCGCCGGGAGGAAGATATTCGTGAAATTTAACAAAGCGGGCTCGGTCTGGAAATTTGAATGGTAAAGGGAAAAATAGAGGAGTGCCGGGGACGCCGTCTTCGCTAAAGGACCACGCCGCGACCGATGATTTTAAAGAGATCCGAGAAAAACATGTTCGCGCGAGCCAAACCGAACCCATGGAAGAACCGATCGAGAAAGATCGAGCGACGCGAGACGCTGCTCTCCACCGTTCGACGTTACTGCGCGAGCGCCTCGTTCCACGGACTCAGATACGTCGTCGATCCGCGTCTCCACAAGATCGAGAGATCGCTCTGGTTCGCCGTGTTCGCGGTCCACGCGGCCGTCGCAGCCTCCGTCATTTACTACGTTGCTTCCAAGCTTCAGGTAACCAACGATTCGATATCTCGACGCGTCTCGCGAACTCGTCGTCCGATTGTCATCGTCTATCTATATAAACCATTCCAAGCCGTTTCGACCATTTTTCATCAGACTGAAACAAAAAAAAATATTAGAAAAAAGTCGGGTCCACGATGGGACATGCTTCATAAAATGGGGAAAAATCAGTTTTTTGGGGGAAGAAAACAACGAATAGTTTCGAAATTTGAGGAATTTAAGTTTTCTTCGGAGATATCAAAAAACCGTATAGCAGTATTCAGATATTTTGTTTTGTATTTTTTTCGTAAAGTTCATTCAGAAACGCACAATTTGAAAAAGAAACGGAACAACGGTTTTTCTTTTTTAAAAAATTCATAACTTTTTTTTGGTTCGGTACAAAAATCTATAAAAATTCACAAAAAGGTATTCAAGAGGGTACTATAATATAGAAAAAATTTCAACCAAATCAAAAACGTTCGTGTCCAAAAGTGATCGAAATGTCTCGGAATGCGCCATGTACGCTACGCAGTATTATTGTTCGAGACTTTTCGTCTTCTCGATCGTTTACAGCGGTAAATTTCTCCGCTCGTCTCTTCGAGTACATACATCGAAAGAATCTTCGTAACCAATGAGTATCTGATGTTCGGGTGGCTCGTTACCGTACTCGTCGATCGTTTTTTTCGACGAACATGCTCGACGCGAAGCGCTTCCGCGTGCAAACGCGATTTGTTATTCGATTACAGGTACGCGCGGTCGATTATATATTTAGAATATTCATTTGGCCGACGCCCCGAGCATCGTGCCACCGCCGGCGCGCAGCAGAGAATCTGAATATGTATTCGAGAATCGAAATCCGGCCAGGGCAGCCTCGGTTAATGCGTCATACGCGCGTTGAATCGTTTTCAGGCAGCCCCGACGTCCATCGGTATCGAGTCGATGAATCACAGAATTTCCAGCCTTCCGTTTCCGAGCGTCACCCTTTGCCCCAACAACCGCGTCGACTGGGACAAAGCCGTGGACCTCGAGAAACAGATATTTTCCAACTCCACCGACCAACAGACGCTGCAAACTTTCCGCGACTTTCTCGCTGGACTCTCGGTCCTCAGCTTCGGTGATTTTCATCGACTAGATTTTTTGAAACGCGTCAGACTCGACGGACTGATGGGTAGGTATCGCCGCGAATATTCGACGTGGGTTTCATTCGAGTCTGTCCATTTGCGTAGTATTATAGCATCTCTCTTATTAACACGTAGATCGCCACGGGAATATCTTTGAATATTTCTATGAGAATCAAAGTTTGTTTCGAGACAAACAACTCTTCCTTATATTATTGCATACTATGAGCATTTTGTAATTCCTCGCACGTTCCAATTTCTTGTAAATGCATAAAAATCCGCGGTCTATAACGTTATCCGAAACTCGTGGAACCTTGCTTTCGAAATGATGTTATTTAGTTCCATAGTAGAGAGCCCTATCGCCCATTTCCGAGTGACGCGGCGACGTGTTAAACGTTTCTCAGTCGAGGTGCTGAACGACGGAACATCGTCGCGCGAACGTCGTCGAAATGTTCCTCGGGAGGAGAAGCGTAATGCCGCGATCGTTCGTTCGAGGAATAAATAAAAATTCCTGCGATTGAAAAGCAGACGGAATCGCGATCGCTGGCGAATGAGAATAATAAAAATCTCCGTAGAATACGGGGTGGCGCATTTCCATAACCAGATTCCGGCGCATCTTTCCGCCATACCGGCGAGCATATCGTTCGAAAATAACTCGTACGATTTCGCTTGTCCCGGTTCGTCCTATCGCCCGGTCTCGCCGCGGCAGACGTGAACGTGACGGATGCGTTGCTGCAAGTGGTGCCGAATTGCGAGCAGCTTTTCACCGACTGCTGGTGGCGCAACTCGAACCGAGACTGCTGCGAGATATTCGAGCTGCACAAAACGGAGTACGGGTTCTGTTACTCCTTCAACTCGCAGCTAGCCGAGAAGACCGTTCGACGGAAGCATCACGGACACCGCGAGGAACGACCACGTCGGGCAACGAGCTTCGGCGCCTGGAGCGGCCTCAGGGTCACCGCTCGTTTCATAAACGTAACCAAACCTCCAGATTTCGGTGAGTACGCGAAAAATAAGGAACGGAGACTGACTTGCAACGGAACGCTGTAACGTAACTGCTCGGCACGAATTCGGCTAGCGAGCGGTATAATACGATCCTAACTGATCCTAACCGATTTCTTTCTCTTTCACTCTCTGTCCTTTTCTGCGTTCAACGCTCGACTCTAGTCAAATCTACGCACGGAATAGAAACCTTGGCTGATAACTGCGATGTTTGGGTCCCGATTTTCTGAACTTATCCAGTCTTTACCGTAGTACGAGTTCGGAGGAATCCTGGTGGAAATTTTTCAGACGAAGCTGACAGCATTATATTCATACTGGAGGATCCGCGAGTTTGGCCCACCAACGGACGAATGATCCCGATAAACTCGCTAACCACGGTGTCCTTCGACTGCATCTCTGGATTCGCCACGCAATCTATTCACGATCTGGGCGAGAGCAGGGCACCTTGCCGACACCTTCCCGGCAGTTTGTACACTCAAGAGACTTGTCTGTCTATGTGCAAGAGGGAGCACGTCATCAAACACTGCGGTTGCAACCCGTCGTTCCTGTTTCCATCGGGTATATAATAAACTATTTATTCGTAGCAGACCGAGTACTCTGATAAGCAAATTCGCGGTATGAATAATATCTCGCTATCCTGGTAGAAAACCGAATAGACGAGTATCTTTGAATAAATCAACCTCGTCCTCTGGCGTTGAACGGGGACCTCGATACAAGGAATTGTCTCTCTCTCTCTTTCAGTTTCTCAGCGTGATTGCGGCGTTAAGGATTTCCTCTGCCTAATCGATCACAACGGTAAGGATAACGAAACGGTACGTGGTATTCGGATGGAATGCCTCTCGGAAAACTCCAAGTTCGCACGCGTGCAACGCGTTCAAGTACGAGACGATTAGGAACGCTATTAGGTGGTCTAACCTCTTCGAACGTTTCGAAGCGTTTCGTAACTCGCGTTGCACGCTCGAGGACCGAGCGTCGATCTACGCTCGATACACCCACCGTCGACGGTTAAACTTGCGTAGAGTGTCCCAGAATTAGTGCCAGAACCGGAAATGGGGGTAGCTGAGACGATTCTGAACCACGATTTCCTTTGCAAAAACGTCGAATGATTTTTCCTTAATAATTCAAGAACGAAGCACCGTCCGACATTTTTGCAAAGGAAATTGTCGTTCGGAATCGTCTCAGCTACCACTCATTTTCGATTTTTACACCAATTCTGAGACACCCTGTATAATCTCGTAACCCATGCAAGATCTCTACAAGGACAACGCGTTCACGGATGAAAAAGGGCCGATCGACGAGGATGCCATGGTCTGCGACTGTCCACCAGCGTGCGACTATTACATCTACACGCCGCATTTAGCCGCGGTACGAACCTATCGATCGCAGGACATCACGCTGGACGTACACTTTTCCAGCCAGGCGAACTTCCGGTACAAGATGGATCTGATTTATTCGAACCTGCATTTCCTTGGTAATTGCTCGGAAACCTATCGTTTCGTTCGCTTCCGTGGATCTCGATGGAGCTCGACTCTGAATTCTCCAATTATACACGTACCAAATTTTAGCCTCGTAAGAATTTTCACGATTCCATTTTCCTAATTTTGTTTTATTTATTTATTTTTTTTTTTGTATCATAGTTGATATCAAAGGCATAATAAACGAAGTATTATTATGATTATTATTAATCCGGCAGTTAACGTGTCAACGATACGTACACCGGCGTCGGTAATCGATTTACGATCATCGAATTCTTGGATCGAGTACAGGTCGATTTATACTATCCGCACAGACCCGGAACGGTTCCGTATCGGCTCCGTTCCGATTCGGACGCAGACACGAGTGTTTATATTACACGTTCGTCGATCGGTGGTAACGATCAGTCGGTTAACAGAAAGCGTTTCGTAAAAGCACGTAATAGCACAAATAGGAAAAATGTTTTCACACGAGAGTACGCGAGACTTGGCTGCGATAGCTGTGCGCTATTAGATGCAGACGAATTTGTAAAAAAAGAGATGCCGCCGTTTTGGTGTGCACAAGTGCTTGAGAAGAAGAAAAGTTGAAGGAGAATATGTCGGTAGGTGTGCGTCTGTGCTGATACGATACGATATGTATAAACACCTATATACAAATTGCATTATAGAATACGTTTACTGATCGGTGCTGAACGGATACGTTACGGTTCTGCGCGGATAGTGTAAACCGACCTTATTTTTTTTTTTTTTTGTTTAAAGGGAGAAAGAACCAAAGGAATCGTAGAAAAATCATTTTGCGGATTAACGCGAACGTCGGCCGTTACGGAAATCTTTTCGCTCTCGTCTAAGGTGGGCAACCACGGGACCGAATTAAGGGAGATTTGCAATTCTTTGCCGGGCCGCGACATCGCGAACAAAGGACGGTCTCGCGGAAAGTTTTCTTCGGTGTTAACGAAAAGCGGGATAAGAGGCAGCGATGCGGGACGAACCGATACGAATTAATTCGCACCGGCGAAGAATCGTCGCGGAAGGGGAAATCGATTCGACCGTCGAATTCAGAATTCAGAGTGTTTGGTTCCATTTAGATCGGATAATCGGAACCTTCGGGGCGTGCTCTCGCCAGACTCGCGCGCGAGCCGGCGCATATTTTTCACGGATTAACATATTAACGAGAGAAGCAAGGAAAGCGAGCGCGGCTGAGTCTGAATCTCTTTCGCAGTGTCTTTCGGCGGCATAATCGGCTTATTTCTCGGGGGCTCGTTACTCAGCGCGGTAGAGCTGATTTATTACCTGATGGTCCTCGTGTTCTCCTACCTTCGCTGTTACCGTTCGCCCGGCGGCCAACAAATTCGACCGGGAAGAGCGATGGCAGTCGACGATGGCGGCTATCCACCTACGCTTTCCGCGCTGTCCGTTCCGAATTACAACTCTATAAAGCCGAGATCGAGGAGAAGCCCGATCTTAGTGAATTACACGTCCGTGAAATCGAATTTAAACAGGTATTGAGCCGAGATGGGGAGACGCCTCGTTTCTAACGAGTCGCTCCCCGAAATCGTGATTACCATTACTCACGATTTATCGCCCGAGTCGATGGTCGAATGAGACAAAAAGATAAACCGCCAGGGGGATAAAAGAGAACGGAAGCAAGGGAAACATCGCTGGAACAGCATCGATTTCGCATAACTGTCCTGTTTCTCTTTTTTTTCTTTTACTTTTTACTGCAAATAGAAGTGTCGCGGATCGACGATAATCGCCGCCACGAAACATCGACTATCGCGGCTTCTCGGCGATTACTGGAATTATGTAAACGCGTCATACATTTCGCTGGCGTTTATCAAACGAATCGTCCGCACCAATATACAGTAAAAACTGGATAAATGCAAGATTCCCTCTCGACGACCGAGCGAGAAGTGTAATGTTGGTTTGTCTGGAGAGTACGTGCCGATTTTTGGAAGGTGGTACAGGTGAATGTGTATATTGAAATGATTGAAAACAAATAATAAATGTACATCCGTTAAAAAGTGAAAAGCTTGTGGAACAATATGGTACTTATATAATTCAATAAATATATATCAAATTTTAAAACGAGCCTTTGAATTTTTCTTAGAAATTGGCACGAACTTTCTGGACAACCCGATACGATCCTAACCGATTGATAACGCTTCTGCCGACTGCCTGTTTGTCCCCTGACCTCTTTCTCTCTCGCTCTGTGTCCTTTTCTACGTTCCCGCCAAACATAAACACAGAACAGAAACCTCGACCGGATAACAGCAATGTTTGGATCCCGATTTTCTTGCACATATCCAGTTTTCACTCCACGTAGCCGTAAAAAGATCGGTAGCATGGATCCTCGGGAACGTACCAACCTACGTAACATCCGATACTAATACGCGTTTATTCGACCGTATTTCGTACTTTCTTCATCCGTTGTCTATCTCCCCGTTTTATTCCGTCCGTCCAAACACGAGTCACCTTACATCTGTTTGCGCATAAGTAGTAAATAAATGCGAATGCCTCCCGTCGTATCGCTTATTTATCCACCGTACTCCACTGCGTATCTTCTTCGATCGAATACGCTCGAGATTCTTGTAGCGAGCGGAGCGAAAAATTTCCATCGATGCTGTCGTTGACCGAAATGCTGCGAGCACGACGACTCGTAGCAATCGGGACATATTTTCAAATTTATTTTTTTTTTTTTCGAAAACAGAGCGTCGCGCGAACAAATTTTATTCTACATTTTCGATTCAATATTTTACGTAGAATCAGCAGTTACGGGACACACCTTGTACATCCGCACATAAGAACGACGGGCAGAGGTGGTGCCTGGAGGTCTCGAAAAGAACTCGAGTCGTCTCCTCCGTCACGTTGCGAGCGACATTTGCGCGCGAATATTCTCGTTCCATAGAGGGTGGGAACGCTTTACATCCGGCCGGTTGAGATGGAACTAAATGTACTACCCGTCTGCCGGATCCCCATTTAGCCATTTATTATTTATGAGGTGCGGCGACGAAGGAAAGAGAGAGAGAGAGAGAGAGATCGGGCAAAGGGTGAGGTGAGAAGTTGCACTGTCCGACGACGACGACGACGACGACGACCGAGCTGCGAGAAAAAAAAGTCCCACCCCCGCTTATCTCTTTTCAGAAAGGTTGTCGCACGCGAGATTTATCCAGCGTGAAAAGGAGATACTTCACGGAGGCATCTTTTTCCAGCTGGCTTTAAAACCGTCAGCGGAGGCTTAACCTAAACTACCTTCGAAGCGTTCCCTCTAGGAAAAGGGTACACGACTTTGACAGAAATATCGTATTATTTCGAGCAACGTACAGACCACCGACGTCGCTAATTTATTCGTTGATCGACATCCGGACGCGATGATTCGCCACGCCGTTGACACCGTGCTGTTTGCACTCGACAGGTGACTTGGTCACCGCCAGATTTGGCGGAGGAAATCAACCAGCGATGAGGTTTGTTCGGGTTCCGATTCTTTAGAACTCGAACTTTAGAACTTTAGAACTTCATTTTTATAAATGAAATGCTTGTAGGTAAAGTAAAGCGACATTCACAGCGACACTCGTCTGTGACCGCTTGTTAACTGCACCCGGTTTACAATTCTTCTTACTTTCTCTGGAAATTGCGCGGCGCATAATTCTACGAGACGCGACAGGGTCCGTCGTCTTTGAAAAAGCTGTCGTCGTCGTCGTCGTCGTCGTCGGATACGAAGGGTAAAGATACCGTCACAGGGATCGTTATCGAAAGTAATACGACGGATATTCCCGTCGTAACGCGAAGGAGAAAGCATTCCCCTTCATCCCCAAACTACTCAAGAGGTACGCGAAGGGTTTAGATAACAGCACGGCCGAGAGTTACTCCAAAACTTTCTCACTTCCTTCTCGGAGGCCGGCCGTGAGCTCCTTCTCCTTCCTTTTTCCATCCTCATCTCGACCATCCCCTTGCCTCCCCAGCTTCCAAGGGTACCTCGTTCTCCGTTGCTTCGCTCCCCTTCATCCTCACCTTTTACCCTTGTCGCGTCGCGTCGGTCGCCTCGAAAGGCGGCGTAGCCACGAACTTTCCGGCGACAGTTTGACAAAATGCAGATTTCCTTCGTTTCCCTGACAACTATCGGTTTTTCTGCTTACTTTTCGCTCTTCTCTGCCTCCATCGCTCCTTCTGTTTCTCTTTCAGTTTCGACGTCGCGCCATGCTGGCCGACTGTACACGTTCAAGCTTCGAGCATCTCGATCCCCTTCCGTCCACATCCCGTCGCGGGATAAGGACCTACAGATCTCTCCTCGAAGGGGAGATCTTCTTTTCTTCTCTTATCATCTTTTTATTAACATTTTATTAACTGAGAATACGCGATCGCGCGTATTTAACGATTCGAAGAAAACGGAAATAATATCAGGTTGTCCCGAAAGTTTCTTTCGCGAGTTGCACTCAATTATCTTATGTGATCGTGTTTATATTGGGTTGTCCGGAAAGTTCGTGGCTATTTTTAAGAAAAATTCAAAGGCATGTTTGAATTTTCATGTATATTTATCGAATTATATATGTATCATTTTGTTCCACAACTTGTTCACCTTTTCAGAAATGTACACATTCAGCCATTCCGATATATTCAGACCTGTACCATCTAGTAAAGATCGCCGTGGACTTTCCAGACAGCCCGATATAAATAGACAATCTAATTTCATAGACGTTCATGTTGTAACAGTAATGGAGCAAAATGAATCGTGCACAATTCGGTAATATAACATAAAACATCAAATATTGTGCGTGCATTACTTATCAATAAAGCGAAAGAAACTTTCGGGACAACCTAATACTTTTAAACGCTCTATTCGAATTTTGTGCACACGATTTATTCTGATTCATTTCGTTCCTCGACATTTTTTTCCTCATTGAAACAAGTGTCTCCAGAGACTGCTCGAAATACCTATAGACCGGAGCTTTGGAAGATCTTAATCCTGTCCGTGATTGCAACGTACGGACTTTAACGCGCGCGTGCATGGTTCTACGTGCCCGAGTGGATCACCGCATCCCCGTGACCGACACTTTTATCCGGCCAGAAACCTGACGTGTTAGGATCAGCCGGGATTTAACTTGTAGACTTTCCCGAAACTCGTTCGCGTTATCACCGGCTACATATTACTTTCCTTTCGTATAACCTGTCGCGGTCCGCGCTCGCTCCAGTTCACGAGTTCGTCGATATTCTCGAATTACGTTAACACATTCACGCCGGTGCCTTGCTGTTTACGTTCCTCGCCACGGGACGGCGCGGTGATACACGCCATCTGTTAGACACGCGAGTGCGAGCCACCGGTGGTACACGCCGGCGTGAACGTGTCAAATTATTAAGGAGACCAGAAAGTGACGTGTTTTCTGCGAATGTCATGTTTGTCATTTATCAGATCATCCAGTGTACCGATTGAATTTTATGGATCAAGTATTGAAAATTTGCACAGTAGATGGCAGAAGGTTGTCGATAACGAGGGCGATTACACAATTGATTAAAAACAAAAACTTGTTATAAATTTATTCATTTGAAGTTACTTTCTGGTTCCCCTAATACGTTCGCTCCCTACGACGAATTTCCTACTCTCCAAGAAGATGGAACGAATGCGAACGAACGACCGTAGCGACAATTTCGTATTTTTGTTATCCAACGTTTTCGTTACATTTAACAACGGACGGATATTCTCTGGATTAGATTGCAAGGAGCTCAACATCGATCGACGCCAAGCGACAAACGTCTAGTTTCCATACGCGTACGTACCATGGATTTGAGTGCTCGGCCGTAGCGAAACTCTGACGAATGCTCAACGAAAACGCGACAATGTACACTCGTAACTGCTAGATGAATTCATTCCAGCCACGCTATTATGAACGCTTTCGAGGGCTGAACGAATACATTTGCCGTGTATCCCGCGAACGCCACTGGCCACTCGACGGAATCATTCATCGCGACCCTATGACCCCTCCAGGCCACCGAGCGAACGCGAACGAATACGCGAAACGCGATCGAGAGCGTTTCAATCTCGGTAGGCGCGTTACCGCGAAATAACGCAACGTTGTCGAGGGGTTAGGTCGAGGCAGGATTTTCTTTTGCATTTCCTTAGTTTCTTTTATAAAATATATTAAACTACTCTAAAAAAAACCAAAATGTTATTTAAAATACCCATTTTTTCACCCCGTTGACTAGACCTAACCCGTTAACACGTTGACGCCGGCTCGCATCACCGGTGGGTCATTGTCCCACCACGCGGACAGTGAAATCGAAGCTCGCGAATCGACGACGACGCACGAACGAGCGTGTGATGCCTCTCCTCGCGTTCGTATCTTTCGATATCATTCGCGTATAACGTGAATCTCGCGGCGGTAAGTTTCTCACGCGCGGCTATCTAAATCCTCTTCTTCTCGCGCAATTCGAGAAGCTAGGTAATCGCCCGGTCCCGTTTGTTCGTGGAACGAGGAGAACATCCCTCGTATTACTCCCGATAAGAGTTCCTTCGCCTCTTGTTCCCGGCGACAGGAACGCGACTATTCGGACCAGGTACCGCGAGCCGGTGAAAGTTATTCCACGGTATCGGTTCGATATTACGCAGACAGATATTTTTCTTCCGTGTCGCGACGGAGACCTTCTTTCCTTCCATCGTACCTCCCTTGTTCCGACATGAAAAATTTTGTCTGTCTCTGGAAGAAGGCGTCGAAATTGTACGTTGCGACGGAACCCCACCCCGCCAGACGTACGCGAAAATACTTCGTACGGGAAAATATCGTACTACATCTTCCTCCACGGAGATTCGTCGATTCGTCGAAATCCACGGGATTCACAAGAGCGGAGAGGGAGGTGACTACAAATTAAAGAGCCACGGAAAGCTACGGTACTCGACGACAACTTCTTCCTTTCTTTCTCTCGATAAATTAAATCTTCCCTTTGGCTGCGGGCGTGTTTATTCTTGGTCTGTTTATTCGATAGAAAAGGAGAATTGCCGGAGCGAGGGTTGAGCAGCAGAGGGCGTGCCGGGAACCGTGATGGAAAAGAAGTATCGTTTGCTCGGCTGCTTTGTTGATAACACTGAAATGGGACAGGGTGGTACTAGTATTGGATACCTTCCAAGCGACTTTAAACTTCTTTTCGTTGGAAAAATTGGAAACATCCTTGGTCTGTGTAGAGCATGCGGATTTCTCTCGGAAAGACAGTCCTCGAAGTTCGATCTTGTCTAAAGATTGGAAGCGGCCCCGTCGACGTATGGCGAGACCCCGTTCCCTAGACGACTCCTCTCTAACAATCGAAAACGTATTTTTCATCGCGACCGACGCGGATTTCTTCGCGAAACAAATTTAAAGTTTCCAAATGCAAAACGAACGTTCGTGCTGAGATTAAGCTGAAAATATCGACGCACGATTCCGGGTAATCAGAAGAAAATTCCTTTCCGTTTGTAACAAACTAATTTAATGGCTAGTAATATAATGATTAGTAGATAATAGAATCTGAAAGGAAGGTCGACCATTCGCCTCGAAGCCAATACAACGAATGGTTCTTTTGTCATCGCGAGACAGCGCGTCGCCACACAGTACGGTTCGGTTATTTATTAAAGTGATCAGTTTATACAGAAACAAAACTATTTCACTAATACTTTCTCTAGTTGATTACGTCACATTTTTGTTTACACCTTTTTTTTCCCTTACAGATTACTTTATATCCGAACATACTTTCTCGCTTCGATCTCATTCACTCCCTTCTTAAAAACTAGCTAGCGTCGCCACACGCCGCTTCTACACATCGACAGCATTCTCTTACACAATCCAGTGTTTTATTCTTTCGACCTTGACACGGCGAAAACACGAGTACCACCATTCCTCCCAATTCGTATGCCGTCCGAGTTTCAAATTCACACGGGGCGAACGCCAAATGAAACGAATCTTTCTTATACGTTTGCACTCCGGTGTTGTCCTTCCGTGGATCTGAAAGTTTTGACTCCGTGCCAGGAAACGTCTCGCTACGGATGTCACCGCATTCAACGGTCCTCCGGTTCGACGTCGATAAACTTTGAGCTCGATTCAAAAATTCCGAAGCCTCCGCTCCTCTTGGACGGTACGGGTCTTCTCCG